TGCAAATTCCGTTCTTTTTTTTTTTCAAAAAAAAAAAAAAAAACCGGCATTTTTTTTCCTTTTTGCAACCTACTCCTACTCTGAGTTTGTAAAGATACTTCTTTTCTGATTTCCTGCAGTTTGAGGACCGAAGGTTCGCAATTGCTTTCTGCATCACCTTCGGCACTCAGTGGGATTGGACAGTCTTTCTTTTCGAATTTTGCTTTATTAAAATTATTATTATTATTATTTTTCCCTTTTTTTGATTAGGAAACTGTTCAATTTTGGATCTGTCCGATCCTTCCCACCTGTCTGCTGCCTACCTGTTCCTCCCCCTCCAGTCCGGGTACTGGGCCAGTCCATCAGATTGGCCCTCGGGTGACTCTTCAGACTTCGGGCACAGCAGTGCATGACACTGCTCACTCGATCACAGACCAAGGCCATGGACCGGAAGGAGGGAGAATCCCTCCTGGCCTATGAGGAACGCCTGGCGGCATTCATTCAGGAGGCCAACGATAGGGCTTCCGCCGCGGCCAAGGAACGTAATCGGCTTGAACAAGAGGAGGAGGCCAAGCGACAGAAGGAGGAACAGGACCGACTTCGTCAAGAAGAGGCAGACCTGCAGGCGGCAGCCGAACACCGGTCACGCCAGCGGGAACGACTGTTCACACGAGAGACCGTGATCGGCGATGAGGCCGCACATTGGGTGGAAGAGGCATCTGCAGACGGGGCCCCGGAGACTGAGAAAGGGCTGTCAGCCCTTGCGCAGGTCTCCCACGACCTCGTGGCCACCTGCGCTCTGCAGCAGGAGGAAATCCTTCACCTGCAGCAGACAGTGGACCAGATGCTCGCACGGCTGCAGGCGTTGGAGAAACAGCCAGCTGCTGTAGCAGCCGCAGGGCCTTCCAACCTTACCACCCGTGTGCAAGTTTTGGAGGATGACGTCAGCAACATCAAGCGTGTGCATCACGACTTCCGAACGTCGCAGCAAGCAACGAACTCGCAGTTGGAGACGCAGGTCCAGGCTGCTGCCACCGTGACGCCCRCCGCCGCATCCTCCCGGCGCCCACCCAAACTGGATGACATTCCAGTTTTCTACGATCAGTCCAAGACGGAACCGATCCCGTGGTGGCGCCAGTTTACTCTCAGGCTCGACATGCACCATGTCCCGAACAACGATCGACATCCGTGCTTGTACCACCGCTCTGGTGGTGCGTGTCAAGCATGGCTGGACAACATCTTGACCAGCCACGGCGTAGCAGTGTCGGAACTGCACACCAAGCTCACTTGGCAGGAGTTGACCGACGCCTGGCACAAGCGATTCCAAGTGGAGCCGCCTGACCTGCAAGCGATGGACAAGCTCAACAAGCTCCATCAGAACACACTGCTCAGTCAGGACTGGATTACCGAGTTCCAAAGACTCGCCTCCACACCTGACCTGCCGCTCGCATTCCGCGCCATCAAGCACTTGTTTATCATGCGCTCGTGTCCAGCTCTGCAAAACGCGCTGACGCAGATTGCAGAGAAACTCGACACATCTGACAAGCTTTTCAGCACAGCGTCATGGATCATTCTCACGAATATCGAAGCCCGCAATGCCGGCCGATCTTCCGCGACGACGAGCGGCACCCAGCCCAAGCCAAAGGTGGCTTGCATTACTTCTACCGAGGCTGCAACACCAAACGAGGGTGAAGTGTTGGCAGCTGCCCGGGATGGTGGACAGTCGCGCAACAATCACGGCCGCGACAAGACGAAGACTCAGTCCACCTCTACACCGAGCACCGGATCAGCCGCCGACGAACCTTGGGCACAATACGGACTCTCGGCGAATTCTTATCGCACGAGACTCAAGTACCGTTACTGCCTTTGGTGCAACAGCACCATCCACGATGCTGCACATTGCCCCACCAAGGGGAAACCCCGTCAGGGAAAGTGGGCGCCGCCGAGGGTGACTCGACACCTCCCTCGACGCCATCGGAACCGGTTGTGCGCACGACCGCCCTTTCTTCCGAGGCCCAACTCGTTCCTTTACTGGATGCTTCTCAAGGACAAGATACATGTGCGGCTTTCTCACCGTCCGAAGGTTCTTCCGCCAGTTCGTCTTCATCAAGGGATTCGGCAAGCATGTTCAACGAGGAGGCTTTGGACCCGCTCATGCCCGAGGACTTCGCTTGGATTCCTCTCCCTACGACGGGCAACCTTCCAGGGCCGCAAAGCGCAGCACTATGCGCCCTCTTACACGAGTATCTTTCCTTCCATGCACCACCAACTTTGTCGACGGTCGACGAAGTCGCTGTGGGGGACATGCTTGGCTATGTTGCCAAGGTGGCCCGCGAGTTTGTCTCGCAACAGTATGAAGAAAACAACGCACCGTTGCTCTACGTTCGCATTCAGATTGGGCAAGCGGCCTGCAACGCCTTGCTAGATTGCGGCGCAACTCGCAACTTCATCAACCAGTCCTTCATGACTCGGGCTGGCCTTGGCGCACAAGTACGGAGGAAGTCACATCCGACGACGGTCGCTCTTGCCGATGGTAAGACAAAACAACTTTTAGACCGTTACATCTCGGTTGTCCCGGTGTACTTTGCACCGCACGCATGTGAACCCGTCACTTTTGACGTGTTGGACACCGACTTC